TATTAAATAGTGGTTGTAACTCAAGTGTAGGGTTTCAAAATGCCACGTATGGGAAAGATAAGATAAGAAAGCAATAATAAGGACAAGCTATGCATAAAACAAATCCTTTTTAAATGTTACCATAAAATGTTACTACCACCCTTTGTAGATATCCAACACTTCAAACATACATTGAGCTCTGCATTCATTAACTCATTTTGTTCAGGCTTCTGCTTTTCTAGCTCACAGTACCAAGGCAGGTCCAGCAGTCAAAAGGGATGATACAAGCTGGGTTATTGCTACACAGTATTCCAGGACACACTTTGTTCTCAGCAATTTTCATTTTGATATTTCTTACACTGAGTCTCATGGCTAAACTGTTGAGAGACAGTTCAGTATCTGAAGTCTTTCAGAACACTTTGAGAGCTCTTGTGAGCTTAAGAACAGCTAAAATTAAACAGACAGAAGTTTTTTCAACTGATTGGAATTATTTCAAATTGCTTGAACTCGTCAAGTGCGTGGTGCCGTTCAGTTTTTGTGAGATCCATGTATGACTAGAAAATAACAACAACTTAATCATACAGGGATCAACAGAAAGACAGAGAGAGGAAGGATGTCCTCCTCCCTGTAAAAGTTTTCCTTTGGTCTTGTTCTTTTAAGCGTAGCATCCTAGTCTACCTGACACAAAAAGCAACAAAACTAACTACCTACCAAAATAAATAAATGGAGTGGAGATAACGCCCAGGTTGTGCACAAACACTGCTGAGCTTTCTACAGGTACCCGAGGGTTGACATATAGGGTCTACAACAAAGCTTTGCCCTTCGGCAGGTTGCAAAGACAGGTTGCAGTTTTGTCCATAAAAACACATGTTGTACAAAATGGGTTCTGTAACACGAACTGTCAGTGGTATGCCACCATTCCACTGATCCTGCACATGCGTTCATTTCTCTGGAATGCTTGTAAGCTGGGTTATGCTTGCCCTAAGATAAGCAGACTAGCATGAGGAAAAAAAAGAAAACACAGAGTGTCACATAAAAGGTTCAGCTCTCTGCAGGAGGCTTCTTCCCCAAAATGCAAGTTCCAATACAGTGCATTCCAACGGCCCCTTTTTTATTGCTTATATCACAAACACAGTATTTACAACAAGAGCTGAATATAATGGGAGTCCCCTCCTGCTTCAGTTTTAAAAAAATCAAGCATCTTGAAAAAGCCCTGCACTGCAGAAACTTGAGTTTTCAAAGACTTTTTAATCAAATAGAAGAAATAGAAATGCAACTGCTTGCCATTATGGAGCTCAACACTTAACCTTACACATTACAATGTATTTTAAGACTGTCATGTAATATATTTTTCTGAATATATTCTAGTCTTTCTTTCATTGTGAATGTGGGAAATGGAGAACTGTGTAACGATTTCAAGCTTGAGTCCAGTTTTTGTACTCCTTTTTATCCATGACAACTATTACATGGTGAATTATGAGTTTCAATATAGATTGAATAGAGACATGACCATATCCATTTCTTTCATAATTACTGTGAGAGAAATAGTAATAGAGAGTGAATGAGGCAAAAGTGTAGCCACAGAAGGAAGATGATTTTCTGACTAAGAGGCAGGACTACTACAGAGACACTGCTGGTCTGATAACTGCCTCTCCCACAGATTTCCTGTGCAGCCTCAAGTAAGGTACTTAATCTTTCCATGCCTCAACTCTGCGTGGCTAAAGCAGAAGTCAAAATACTTAACTTTATAGAGATGTCACAGAAACATTTGTGTTTGGGAAGCTACTGGACATTGCTACTACATGTGGGTGCCTGAAACATAGGAGAAAAATATATTTTAGCATTGACTTTGAACAGTTTAGAGAAAATGAAGCACAGCACCTCACATCAAACAAATTAAATAAAATGAACAAAATCAGCAGCTCTTGTGAGTGTATCTGAAGTACTAGGAAAGTGCGCAAGTACATCATTTTAAGTCCAGGCTGTAATGGATGGACATGCACAACAGAGCATAAAAGCAATGCCAGCAGCATCACCTTTCTCCTTTTATATGTTTGAGCACTAAGTTTTGAAAGCTCAATATTAATAACGTTATGGGTTTCTATAGAAAATATAACACACATTTCCATACATTTGCTCTGTATTAATTCAATCTCGTTTCTGAAAATAATGCAGTACTATACAACTTAACATCATATTGATCCAGGTAACTCATGAGTCATTTTCTGTGAGCAGGTATCAATCACTTCATTGTTTACTTGCTGTTGGAAAGAAATTGATTTAATCAAACCTTGCAGTAATACATTATTGATGCATCCCAAGAAAGCAAAGTTGTAATGAACCATCAGGGCCCTAACATAAAACACTGTAAGGAGTGGCAACTTTAGCTTCAATCTTTCATTGTGATTTGCAGAGGCACGTCACTGTACTGCCAAAGCTCTGCGCAGGACGACGGCCAGTCTGAGCAGCGCTACGCACTGCTCACATAACAGACTTGGGACAAGTTTTCTGTAACACAGCAAACCACAGGAGCCTAGACAAAACCACACAGAGGATCTCATACACCTCTACCGCTTACACACAGCAAAGTATCATTTTTACTGGATTTTAGCAAATAATGACCCTTCAGGGGGGAGTGTTAGTTGATAGGACAGCACAAAAATAGGAGAGAGTCTTAAGTCCTCCTCCTCAGCACAGGCTCAGCCTTTGTTCTCCAGAGGCTCTTAAACTTTTCCACATACTGGACCACATGGGAATAGCAATTTTAATAAATACACATTAAAATTCCTTTATGTACATTTGTCAAACAAAAGACAGCTTACAGTAGCGACTGCAGCAGCCACTTGAAAGAGGAAAGTTAGAAAAGCGTTTGGTTGAATTTACAGACTTTCAAATGCAAGCTGCCTGTTTAAAGCTTGAAAAAACAAGCGCTATAGCAACACCCACTGCTACTGCTACTTAGCAAATACTGTTTTACTGTGATTAAACTTCTCTTACAAATCTGAGAAACTAGGTAAAGGTGACAATGTACCAGAACACGTTCGCTGAAGCTGAGATACTGCGAAATGTTGTACAGTGCAGAATGAACCACACCAGAATTTAGCACTGACCAAGCACATGAGAACACCTACGTACAGCTCGCAGAGACATCTATAGGTAGTGTCTGTCTAACACCTCGTAATTATTTACATAGGAGAGGAAGGCTGAACTTCCTATGTAGGAATTCATGCAAGGTGGAAACATTTTTACAAGGAATGTCTCGTGGAGTGTAACTAATAGAAATATGACATCAATGTCCATCACCAAAAATAGATGCACCGTAACCACAGAGACGTTACTTAGGGAATTATATCAGAGATGGATAAAATACAAAGTTGACATGGGTTAAAAAAAAAAAAAAAAGAAAGAAAAGAAAGAAAAGCAATATAACCAGCGATGTATCTTCCCTGCTCTGTCATCTTTCTAGGCACTGAACTGAAGCTCAGCCAGACGCAAGTTTGCAGAAGACACACACAGAAACACGTACAACCACACATGCTGTACCGTGCACAGATTGTTGTAAAATTCCTAGAACGAAGAGAAACCATACACACTCGGAAACTGAAAACAACATCAACAGTGTATTCTATTACACTTAGCAAACAGTAATACAGAACCGTGAAAACAGATACAGTAGGTAAGAGGAGACGGTTTCCTAATGAAGTGGGAATTGAGCAGGTCTCTAGAGCGCCCGTGGGTTTGATTGCCCTGGATATTTCCCGGCTCAGTTGAGAAAGTAGAGAGGGTGGAGGGAAACCGGGATGAGAGTTCTCTGTCACGTCCTTGCCCCTCTCCCCTGCCCTCCTGCTCACGCTAACGGGATGAAGTAGCAATTCCCAGATATTTTACTTTTCTCTGCAATTAAACGGAGGGGTATTCTTGGGATACCTGATACACGAACTCAGTGAGACAAAAACAACCCCTGGATATTTACACACACACGCAGACGCGAAAGAAGAAAAGAATAGGCATTTCCTCACGCGCACGTTGCCGAAGGGACGCTGCTATTTCTCCTCTCCAGACGGGGACAGGAGGAGAGCAGAGGGCCGGGCTCAGCCTCGCTCAGCCCGGCAGGAGCCGCGCACCCGCTGCCGCCCGCCTCCGGCACGGGCAATGCCTCCCTTGAGCCCTCGCAGCCCCACCGGCAGCCCCGCGGCCGAACACACCGCCTCGCGGCCGCACACTCCCTCGCACGCGCTCCCCGTCCCTCGCGCTCACTCGCACACCTCCTCCTTTACACGCTCACACACTTTCGCACACTCGCGTGCAGCTCCGTGCACTCACGCTCTCCCTCACACCTTCGTGCACTCCCACACACACACACACGCTCCGTTACACACTTCCTCCCTCGCACACACGCTCCCTCACTCACACTCCTTTGCACGCTCACACGCAGACTCACGCACTCCTTCGCACACTTCCGCACACCTTCTCGCACTCCCTCACACACACACACACACTCCCTTGCACACTTCCTCCGTCGCACACGCACTGCCGCCCTCTCGCGCTCCCTCCCACGCCCCAACGGCCGCCAACAAAGCGGCGGCGGGACGCGGGCGGCGCGCACACAAGACGCGCACACACAATGCTGCGCGGCACCTACCAGACGGGCAGCCTCGGCCCAGGTGCGGTCCTTCTTCTTCCTCTTGTCTTTCATGTTTGCA